TTAATGGCATTCTTAACTTCTTTATAAGAGTCCGGGATTGAATTGAACAAAATAATAGCCTTATAGGTCTCAGACACGGCTTCATCACAATTGACAATATCTTGCACCAATTTGTTAAATATATCTAAATTGTCGTCAAAATCCTTTGAAGGATCCATCTTAAAGCTGAAGAATCGTTCGAGTAGGTAGAGTTTATTCGGTGTAGATTTAAGCAAGTATAAGTCTTCTAGTCTTTTCCAAAGTTCTTTGGTGGTTTTTAGTTTTCCCACTTTTCTTTTTCCAAAGTTCTTTGATGGTTTTTAGTTTTCCCACTTTTCTTAAGACAGCGTCAGACAAGTGTAATATTATTGAGGTATAGGCAAACTCATCGGCTTCCTCTTTTTGTTCTTTTGAGATGTCAGGTGCAAAATTGCCTTCGATGGCTTTTGACACCTTTTGTTGGACTAATATGCCTCTCATCTTTTGTTGCCAGATAGAGAAGTCCACTTTACCGTTAAATATTCCCAAATCAAAATTATCTGTTGTCATTGGTTAACACACTAATTAAACCACACGAAATAGTATTGGGAAACGTGATAAGGTAATATTTTGTTAATTCTTAGCAAAAGTAACAATGAACCTAAACGCTACGTCCACCAAGAAATACCAAGCACTTAAATCAAAAAGAACAAGCACTCAATTAACGCAAGTAATCCTAATTCTAGCACAAGCAATGGTTACTCGTTCACGGTAACTCCAAAACCTAACGATCACCCCACACGATGATCTTGCTATTGCTAAATTTAAATGGATTAAGCCAATTTACCAGAGCGAATCTATCTGAGTCCGTAGAGTGGAGAAAAACGAGCTTGCTGTTCAATTTCAGTCGGCGTCGCACCAGGGGCAAAATCGTCCAACTTTTTCTGTGTAACATGAAACACAAAACAAAGTATATCAGCGCGTTCAGGAGATCGAAACAAGCAAGTTACCTGAAGACAGTTTCGCCGGACTGTCGCCCACGCGCCACCTCACCAGGGGCGCCTCGACTTGCTGGTAATGGGTATGGCCTCCGTTTGTCCAACTGAGCTTTGGTTTGTGAATAATTGAAGAATTTTTGCATTCTGGTGCAATGTTGAAAATGCAAAAATCAACCGATTTTTAGCCGATTTTTGCCAACCAAGCTCTGATACCAGATGTTAGAACTTCCTCTAGCTGCTCAAGGTGATTTCCGAGCTCAGTTAACCTTTAAACATCGAATCAACACCAAAAACTGAAGGGACCGACCGTTGCCTACGCGTTCTTCCTATGGTTGCTATTCTTCCTTTTGCTTGTTGTTTCCTCACTCACTTAGGATGAATACCACACAGGTAAGGGTCACAAAGACACAAGCAAGAGTGGAAGATCAATTAGTAGGATGCACGAAGAAGAAGGCAGCCTCTCTCTCTCTCGGGTTCTTTCAAACCGGACCAATTAGAAGGCAAAAGAGTTACCCATATATATAGTAGTCCAATGATAACAATAAGGTAAGTTATACATATGGTAAGTAGGCTCGACTAGGGTTATGGCCCAATAGCACACCAACAAGCCACAAAGGTTTATTGGCCATCCAATAGGTAAAACAACGTTAAGTTGGGTCATCCCATTATTCGTTGTTGGTTTATCGTTCAGTCATTCATGTCGACTGATAAAACTGGTTTACATCATCGCCCGGGAGGTCGTTTGACAACATGATGTCTAACACATAGTTATCTTGGCTCTTTCCTTTTATTTAGTATCATAACCATTGCATGAGAATAAGGGACGCCGGTCAACTCCCATCTCCTACAAGCATATATACGAGACCCTAAATCATCAATACATGTAGCAGAAGCAGAGAGACTTGAGACTATGGTCCTCCGGACCAATTTGACTTGCACCCCATAATATGCGACTTTGCCAATGCAACACTCTTGTCCAGTTTTCTTTTAAACTTTGAACACAACTACCCATGTACCTCCTCATATTGTCTCTCCTCGCCTAAATCCTCTTCATGAATATTGTTTGTAAAGAATTACCTTAACCTTCACTTTGCACCCATCCACACTCCCAAACTTTTCGCTTTGTTATAGTACAAGGGCAAATGAATGATCGTTATCGTTAGTTGGTCAAGAAAATATATTTTGACCCATTCTTAAAAGGGGGGCAAAATTGGTAAATTTATTATTTTTCCGTATAAAACAATTAAAATAATCACGACAGCGACGACGAGTGGTAGTGATTGTTGAAGGTGGTGGTGAGCTAGGTTGATATGTGGTTTGTTTAGTGGGTTGGGGTGAGGTGAGAGATGAACAGTTCCATGTTCCTTCTACTTTTTTATTATTTTATTAATTTTATGTAAAAAATAACTAATTTACCATTTTGCCTTTCTAGAATTGGTCAAAATATATTTTTTTGGTCCACGAATGATCAAATGGATTATCTATTTGTCCTTATGTTGCAATAAAATAAGAAGTTTAAGATTGTGGTGGCACAAAGTGAAAATTGAAACAAAGCCTACAAAAATAAAAATATTTAGGATTGCTACTGCAATTATCCCAAGAAAAAAA